ATGAAACTTTGGTGGTAGGTTAGCGGTTTGCGACAGGCGATGTGTGTTAAATCAATGGCATTAAATAAGGCATGATCACCGATGTTGTTTCACTCCATTTTTGCGGTACATTAATATTCATATGTTTGAACTTGGTTGAAGTACGTAGTGTTTGAACTACTGTACTGATGAATTTGTAGAAAACGATTCATGAAAGAATGAAGATTCCTAAAAAACAGAGAGAACTTATTGGAAGCAATAGAGTACCATAATTCTTCCAACTAGAGTTGTCATTCCATAATGTAATTTTGAATTGTAAGTACTTCAACCTATACCTTTATCATAACATGTGTTGTTCACTATATTGATGTTTGTGGTTGTGGTTATGTAGTTGTTTTTGCCTACTGTGAGTGATGACCATTGGTGGTGCTATTGTGTCAATTGCCAATCAAGGGAATTTTTCATTTTAGATTCTCTTGGTCATAAGAGCGGACCAGAGATATGGTATGAAAGGCAAGGTAAGAGAGTTGTTTTATGTAGACTTGGTATTGATGGAAAGTTGATTTTAGAGTAAGGTGGTAAATAATAATGAATGTGTTTGAATAACAAATTTCCAAGTCGGTTGTTTGCAAGAGTTATTCAAATGATAGATAATGAAGCAAATTGTAAGGAGCGACAATTGAAGGTCGATTAAAGAAGATTTGCCAATTCAACCAAATCCGTTAGGACCTTAGCATAACCAATGTATTAGGTGTCTCGATGTGATCCTTCTAAGTATTAGATTTAAATGTGTAGTATTGATTGTGGTTGTTGTATGATGAACTATATGGAGTGTTGGGACAACCAACCTACATTGATGGCCAAAAAAATGCCCGATTTACACAAACGGTGGTCTTCTTTAAGTATATGTTTTTTGTATTGTTTGATATGGTTTTGAAACAGGTTATTAAATTATAAATTTCACAAAGTAATATCAATGAAGGAGGCAATTACAAACTTATTCGACAACAAACGGTGTGTGTATTGGGATTACATGAGGAAATATGCATAGAAGTACAGTAATGAAGAACGGTGGCTGCTATAGCAAGAAGAAGTCATGAGTAGGACCAAAATTGAAGAATGTGAAGACACTAAAGAAGGGAATACCTTGTAATGATTTGGTGGAATATGATAGAATATGAAACAATTTTTGTTATCACTTTTAAGTTGTTTACTATGGTAATGACGGATCACAAAATTGCATTTTAGTTTATGTACTAGTATCCACCAGGTCCACTGTGTTCCAGGGAGGTGTAACTGACCAATGTCCATTTTGTTGTACATAAGCTATTAACTACATTCGCAGAACACAGTGAACAAAAGTATTGAGCAAATAACCATATAAACTTAATAGAACCGTTACTGTACGAAAAATCTTTGAATGAATTTGAAGTTGAAAAACACTTGTATTGTGGTACTACCTATTCAGTAAATAACCGAATAAGTGGTCCATATATCCCGTTACTGCACAAAGATTAAAAATTGATATTGAAATTACAGTAATATCTTGAAACATAAAATCGAAAATACCCAATAGGTTTAACAACATAAAACCAGTTATTGTAACCAAATCAGCGCCTAGCATGACGTGACGAGCGCTCGTACACGTGACGAGCGTTCCTTGTCCAGCTGACCGAGAGTCCAGCGTTTCAGCACATCACCGTTGCGCCTCCTTTATTGTGACGTGACCAGTGATAGGTGTAAACTTAACTTGTTTTGTTGCTAAAATTGTTGTGCTTTTGAGTAAGTTTTTAGTGTTAATTTCTCATTGAAAGTATATAATTGTTGATATAAGTACAATTTTTACTGTTTAAATGTTTTTTGATGCTTTTGTTTGTTTATTTCGAAGTAAAATAAAGATTGAATACTATGAAAGACTTGGACCAGGCTCAGTGGCGCTGTTCTGCCGAGAGTTTCACGCCCGGGCACCGAAAAAGGGCGTGATGCAGGACGCTCGTCGCCCAGGACGCTCGTCACATAGCGAGCGCACGGAAACATTCATAGCAACGGACGGTTCGTCGCCCCCTGCACGCACAAGAGGACGCTCGGTCCACAAGAATATCAAGGACGACGGCTCGATCTGGTTAGTGGACGCTCGTCCATACGTCCGGACGCTCGCACATTGACGCTCGTTAGCGCTCGTTGCCGACGCGGAGCAGATGGACGCTCGTCCAGCGCTAAATCAGAAGGCCGGGTCGTCCAGAAGTATACGGTCGTCAGACGCTCATCCAGACGGCGCTCTCGTCCAGCGCTCGGCCAGAAGTGGGGGGGGGGGGGGGCGGGGTGGGGGGGGGTGGGGTGGTGGGGGGGGGTGGGGGGGGGGGGGGGGGGGGGTGGGTGGGGGGGGGGGGGGGAAGCTAGTCCAGAAAGGACGTTGCGCCCAGCGAGGACAACGTTACCAATAAATGGGACCCTTCCTGTAAAAACCAGATCGGGAGTCCAGAACCAGGCGTTCTGACGGGGAGAGGAAACCAGAGGACGCTGGTGCAAGCAGTGGTGGTGTAGAAAACCAATTCAATAAATAACCACTTGTATGGTTTGTAGAAAAAAACCATTCAATAAAGTAACCGCATAACGTTGTCCATATTAAAGGTAAACACTTTTATTGTTCACCAAATAAATCATATAAAACTTATAACATAACGAACTTACATAAGCACTTATGCAAAACAAATTGATCAACATAAGTTAGTAGTTCAAAAATTTTCAAATAAACACATCCTGTAACCATGCACAATTATTCGACACCAAACAACAACGAGAAATGAAATCAAAGCAAGAAAGTATGAAAGTTTTCAAGTTGTTGCATTATATTGTCTTATTCAGCAGTGCCTTCAGGTTTGTAAGAGTGGAATCAATTTCGATCGAAATGTCATAAAACGGATCGTGTTGGAGGCGTGGTCTCACTTGGTACTGATAGACGACTAGGGTCATCAGTTGGGCCCCAATTATCACTTACAAAAACCTGCACAATCCCAGAGTATCATTTAAATCATAGAAAAGTGTACAACATATAAAAAGAAACTAGAAAATTGTTCACAAAAATCTTTAACCGTGACCAATATTCCTCCGAGGTATGTTATTAAGATAGTATGTTTCACGTATTGGTGAAAAAATTGAAACCTGTAGAAATATTATTGGTGGAATCCATATTTTGATGTGGGAATATAAGGTCAATAGCTAAGTATTTATGAAAATGAAATATACTTACATCTTGTAGGATTATCACACTTCAAATTTTAAGTGCTACACCCTTTCAGGATGATCAATGGCTTGTGGTGAACACTTGCTTTTCTGTTCCCTGTGGGATCCAATTAGAAAGAGGGTTAATTTATCACAATGATTGGTGACAACCTTTGTTTTTAGGGGTTCATTGTAAACAAGCAGACCTACAAATTTCATCTCACCATACGTCGACAACAATAGCCACATACAAGAAGAACACCTGTATGAAGTAACATAGGCCAGATGTCGACACACTACAAACCAATGCTCAAATCCCAAAGCCCCAAAAGTGCTCCAGCATTGGCGCGAGAGAGTTAGAACGTGGGCGTTGGCATTAGTGCGTGTGCTGAGCAGAAAACGTGCTGGGTGGGTTTGCATTTGCAACTATTCCAATCATCACTATTTCCTCTGATGTCGTGCAACTTTTCACTCTCTAGCTCTCCATCGGCCACTACCTTTTTCCATTTCTGCTAATCATCTCACCCAGTATCATTTATTGCAATATTCCCTTTTGAAAATAAGCAAAGCAGCCCAAAAACACTAAGGACAGTAAATAATCCTAAGGTTTGCCCAAATGAGACTGTTTATCTCTCAAGACGTTCCGCCCGTAGTCTAGAGGTTTCGAAGAAAATAAAAAATAACCAACCAAAAAGAAAGATAAGACAAATTATGAGAACAGAAGAAAGGAAGAAGAAACTCATACTTTATATTCTTCAAACGGTACAAAGGGGAGAAATTAGAAAGGGGACAAACCTTCCGCCGCTCCACATCGATAACGTCAGGGTACGAAACGTTGCCTTGGCTTCACCTTCGCGGGTACAACTTTCGATAACGTCCAGCCTCCGGTGGCAAGCAATGGAGTTCTCCTTTTTTTTTTTTCCTCTTCGTATTCTCTCGTTCTCTCTAACACTAACCCGGGAGGTGGAAAAAAAAAATGCCTCTTCCTAAATGAAAATGCTCGAACTTTCAAAATTTCAAAATACCACACACGATCCAAGCAGCAATGTGAAACGCAACGTTTCATTACTTGTTTACAAGCCCGCCAACTCAGCCACCAGCCAATAACTGAAATGGACCAATCTATCCTTCAATTTCACTTCATCGGTTCACACGGTACATATGTTCATTTTTAATATACCATGTGATTTCACACGTACTGTTGTTGCTCAAAATATTCTCAATGTTTTCACAACTATTTTATCCACCGAAAACAAAACGCAAACACAAACTCTTTTCTTCTCTCTCTCTATGTTGAATGCAATTGCGCAATTCGATTGGCGAGATTGGAGGAGCTTCCGCGTCGCTGTTGGGTGGAAATTGTGAGTCGTTTAACGGACACAAACCGATGTGGCTGCGGTGGCGGGCCGGTGGTCCAAGGGTCTAAACGCGGCCGTATACGAGGTGCGGCTGGCTGTGAACGTGGTCTGTTTCCATGTCGCGCTACCTCAAAGTCCCGTCGCCGGAGACCAAGCACCTCGTCATCCTTCAAGACCGTTTTCTCTCACCTCGTATTCCGCTCCACCTCCACTCTTGACTCCGTCTCGCTGGGCGTCGATCGCGCCCTCGTGGGCGTCTCCTTCGAGACGTCGAGGATGAGTCTGACGAATCTCTACCTTACCGACATGAACTTCATCAGAGAGTGGCTCATCCATTTCCCACGCTCTGAAATCTTTCTCCGTCTCCGATTTCTGGGTCCAGTCTTGTTGGCGCCGATCGCAAACCTTGTCCCTCATCTTCTTCCACCTGTTAGCTTCTTGATTCTCAATTTTTCTTTCTTCATACTTTCTTTCTCTTACAAGAATGCGGTTTCTTGCGCGTGTTTCGTATTCTTTCCGTCAAATGGTTGTGTTCAATTTGTGTTGAAGATTAACATTGTTTAGATTACTCTGGTGAAATAATATTAAAAGAACCTAATGGTATGTTTGGAAGGTAGAATTGAGAGAAAAACGTAATATTTGAACTTTTGTTAGTTACATTTTTTTCCTTTCATTTTCTCCAACCAAAGAAAATAGTTCATCAACGTTCTTTCCTCCCTGTAAACGTACATCAATGTCGAAATTTGAGTAGAAGGGAAATATGATGGAAAGAATTATTGAATTTTTATTTTAAAACACTTCTCTTAAATCAACCAAAAAAAGTATTGTATTCATTTATATCTTCTTCTGTCCATCCAAACATCCCATAAGAATATGATCTAAGTTTTATTTGTCTCTCATGAAATTTGCAATGTGTCTTATTCAGGCCATAATCTTGGGAAATTGGTGTGAGGAATGCTGGTTATCCGTGGATGGTTTGTGTTTGATGACCAACGTTGAGACATTTGACCCTTGAGTTGTGAGACTGGATGATGAGGACTTAAGCAGGATCATGCTGTTTCCCTAATTTGACCTCAACTCAGTCTTATTGGGGTTGGTGGACTTAAGGAGCCTAAGATAATTTCTTACACCTTACCACTTGTCATGGCGGTCTCAAATGCTCCACTTTCTTGTCATATGTGCACCTTGCCTTGTTGATTTTGATCTCAGATGCATCAAACCTAAGTTGTTGTCCTTGAGGCCCCTTCCTTGTCCAATTTTAATCTCTCCCTCGAGAATACTTATGAGCTCAGGTTGAAAAATTGTGCTAATATACAATGCCTTCAGCTCAGTGTAGAATGCCTCTCTCTTGGTTTTTTGTTTACTATGTTTCGTCACTGCAGCACGTGAAGAGACAAGAGACTTACCTTGGATTTGGTAGGAAGAAGAAAACAGGTTGATGCAGCAGTGTTTGGGATTGATACTTTGTTGGGTTGTTTTCCGAACATAACACGTCTTAGTTTAGGTCCTGGAGCCTGGCATGTGATGGAGAATTCATTTAGACGGGGAGGTTTGGCAGATGGGATTGGTATGAAGATGATAAAACAACTTATTGCACATCTAGTGGTCCATGAAGTGGAGGGTACTCTTGCATTTATTTCTTCTGTTTTGGATAAAAGCACCCAGTTGTGTGATGTTTCTCTTCTTATCCATCGTGATGTTGATTCATATGTTGCTGGCGGCCTGATCTCTTCATGCAGAAGCAAATTCCCAAGAGTGAGATGGAGATGGGGAATATGGAAAGAAGGAATCAAGGATACTTGGGTCTCTGATGGCACCTAGTTTGGTGACTGCTATCTTTGTTATGAAAAGGGGAGTTCTCATTGATTTGTTATGTCATAGGTTTACGAATAGACGAGTCATGTTAGGACATTGTCAGACTTTGAATATATTTTGTTGAATCAACTCCAATAAGCATAAATGAACGTTAAACGACCCGGAATGTCGATAAAAAAATTATTTCCGATGTTAGAAAACCAGAGAAAGTTGAAAGAAACTAGATGAGGGATCAGAAAGGAGAGTCTGAAATATGGTGGTATTAGTATCAGGAGAAGTTTTTCCAAACTGTGTTGGCGAATTGGATGCAGTTGGAAGTAGCATTCTTCTTTGGATTTGATCAGCATTACAAAATATCATGGCTATAGTTAACTGTGGAGAAGAAGCCACCTTGTGGAAAGTCCTCCCCTTGTGAAATCTCTTTGTATAGATCTTTGCTGTTGTGTTATCTCTTTGTACATATCTTTGCGCTGCTCTTTTGTCAAGCATATGTATATTATTGTATATTATTCATCCCTGTTATGGTTTTATGGATTGAAGTTTAGATGGACTCACCAGGTCAGTGCTTCATTCCTGTATTTCTATTACTTGTATATTTGGAGATCTATTAAAATACAAATCTTTATTTTATGAATGTCGCATAGTTTTATGCAGGTCATCGCTAAACTTTTCCATGGGTGGAAGGGCAAAGTCAATCTACCGTCTTAGGTCATACCATGTTTATAAACTTGTTCCATGTTTGCGTTATCCACATTTTCATGGAACTTATTATAGCAGCCTAATTGCATTTTATGGTAGAAGAATTCAATCCTTGTGCATAGGTTGCAAATATTTATTTTGAGTATTAAGTTAGCATCAACCGCAGGATTTTATTAAAACCTTTAATAATATAAAAGTAAATTATATAAATCATATACATATTTTCTTTAGTTGATTAAAAAACATTTCCCTTTTTTTTCACGGTTCTCTTAAAATTATTAAGCCAATATATTTTTTAATAAAAATGAATAGATTGGATATTTATTCCTCTTATTTAATAGCATTGATTATTTATAATATCTCTATTAGTTAAGTTAATCATACCGTCATCCATTACTTTTTCTTTTGAGTGGATTTGAGGGAATTTGAAGATAACTTTTTTTGTCTTTTATTTGAGTGAATTTGAAGATAAAGACAAGTAAATTTGGAAATAAATTTTTTTAATTTGTCACGTATGTCTCATAATTTATCATGTCCTTTGTGACACCGGGGATTGGATCGGATTTGGATTGTTTTGGATGCAACCAATTCAATATTTTTAAAATTTATATCTTAACCAATTATTTCATTGGATTAATCAGGTTTAGAATTATTTAGTTTAGTTTATTTTAAGTAAATGACATAAATATAATAAATTTTATTAATAATTATTATAATAAACTATATTATTAAATTTTAACGAAAAATAGTATCATATTAAAAGTAAGATTTCTAATTTATAAATATTAAAATATAAATTGAATTATATATTTATAGTGTATTACTTAAATTTGACCATAATTATTTATTTATTTTGTCTAATATTATCTGATTATCTAATCTAACTCAACTTTTAAATTTATTTTGGATTTTTTTGAATTGGATAAAAAAACAAGTATTTTTTCTCAACCCTAATATTAATGTTGAAAATCGATTCTTTGTTTCGTGAAAACCAAATTTCGACAGTAGTTAATTTTTCCTTAAAAGAAAATAGAAAATAAAGAACAAAAAATAGCAATTTTATAATAGAAAATATAAGTTTGATTTTAGAATTTTGAAAAAAAAATAGATATAATGGTTCATAGTGTAAAAATGATATTTTTGTGTTTAATTAGCACACTTATACTGTCTCAGAATTTTTAGGTTTTAAAAGTTGTTCCATTCTATTTATTTTTATCAAAATAATGTACGCTTACTCATGTTTATGTATAGGTATGTTTTTTTCAACTTTAATAGATTTCTATGGAAAAAAAATGGTATATTTTGTTTCATTTTTGGGATTTTTGACACATTTTTAATGTCTTAGAATTATTTTTTATCCGTAAAAAAATAATGAAAAATGTGTATGTGTCTAAAAGTTTTCTAATTATCTTACAAAACTAACTTTTATTCACACTTAAATTATTTTTCTCTCATTTCAAAATAAATAAAATTCAATCTCAACATTTTATTTCTTATTTTTTATTTTTACTTTCTTAAAAAGTAGATAAAAAATAAAGGTTAAATTCCGAGCAGAATTTTGGAATTGGAAATAATAAGTACAGCTAAGAATTTCACTATTCAAAAACTGAATTCTAAACAATTTTATAAAAAAATTGAAATTGAATCTACATGGGAATTACAAAATAAGATAGATATAATTGGGGAAAAAAATTAGTTTTATCTAAATTAATGTTGATGGCTTCTACAGAAAGAAAATAACATGGGAGAGTTGTAGGTAAAAAGTCATAAATAACTCATACAATAAACATAATATCACTTTTAGTATAAAATTGAATTTGTGATCTTTCTTATATATATATATATATATATATATATATCTAACTCAATATATAAGACGTCTTACTCCCATCCTTAAATTTCTCATTAATATAAAAATTGAAAAGGATGCATAAAGACAAAAATATAATTTACATCACGAAACTCCCTACTCCAATCCTTGAATTTCTGACTAATATGTTAGAAAAATGCGTAAAGACAAAAATATAATTTACCTAACGTGTTCCCGAGGTGGGTTTCAAAGAAACTATTAAGTGCAAAAAGAAATTACAAAAGAAAAAAAGAAAAAGAGAAAGAAATGAGATAGGAGAGTGGTAGTATCGTGAGTGACAGTGGTAAGTGGCGCAGAATATCACGTTGAGTCTGGGCAAAGAGTGAAGAAAACAAGAAGAATGGAATTACTTCCCGCCGCTGTACCTCCGATCTCGAAGAAACAAGGCTTCAGATCGCTTAAGCTTGTCAACGCCGACATGGAGCAGCTTCTCTCCGACCAACCCGTTGGCGTCGACTACGGCACCCTCGACAATGGCCTTCGCTACTACGTTCGTTGCAATTCCAAGCCTCGCATGAGAGCCGCTCTCGCTCTCGCCGTCAGGGCTGGGTAACCGATAACCTAACCTAACCTAATTCTCCATTCGTATATCCCATGTATTATGAATCATTCAATGCTGAATTGCTGATTGTGAAATCGGTTACGGCAGATCAATTCTCGAAGAGGAGGATGAACGCGGAGTTGCTCACATTGTTGAACACCTCGCGTTCAGTGCCACCAAGAAATACACCAATCACGACATCGTCAAATTTCTCGAGAGTATTGGAGCCGAATTCGGAGCCTGTCAGAACGCCGTGACCTCTGCGGACGACACGGTTTACGAGCTATTGGTTCCGGTCGACAAGCCGGAACTGTTGTCTCAGGCCATTTCGGTCTTGGCGGAGTTCAGTTCAGAGGTCTCAATCAGAATTGTGTTATGCTCTGTTTGGATGACTCTGTTTTGTTGTTCTATTTTTTTGTAATTGGATTGTTCTGTGTTTGTAGATTCGAGTTTCGAAGGATGACTTGGCGAAAGAGAGAGGAGCTGTCATGGAAGAGTACAGAGGAAGCAGAAATGCCACGGGGCGGCTGCAGGATGCTCATTGGATGTTGATGATGGAAGGTTCAAAGGTGCCTGTATTCAACACTTGCTTCTTGCTATTTTATTAGCCATTGTTGATTAAAATGGTTAGAACATGTGATTGCAGTTTGGGAAATTGTTTTATATCGATTGGTGTTATTTCATGAAGTGTTGAATGGATTGCAGTATGCTGAACGTTTGCCAATTGGCCTAGAGAAAGTGATTCGGACGGTTTCTTCAGAGACTGTGAAGCATTTTTACAAGAAGTGGTACCATTTATGCAATATGGCAGTGATCGCAGTTGGAGATTTTTCTGATACGCAGGTGCTTTATTTATTCACATCTGATTTTTGTTTGGTTAAGTAACTGTGCTGATTAGTGATTTCCTTAATCGCTCACACACATTTGCAGGATGTAGTTGAGTTAATAAAGACTCATTTTGGACAGAAAATTCCAGATCCTGATCCTCCACTTATACCAACATTCCAGGTTCCATCACATGATGAGCCACGATTTTCGTGTTTTATTGAATCCGAAGCTGCTGGGGTAAGTAGGTAACGAACCATTAACTTTTAATTCAAGTTCCAGGATTTTTTGTTAGTGATTTTATCTTGCTTCGAAATTAACACTTTAATATGGGCTTTCCTAATAACAGTCTGCAGTGATGATTAGCTATAAGACGCCAGTGGATGAGCTTAAGACAGTGAAAGACTACCGTAATTTACTTGCAGAATCCATGTTCCTCTATGCTTTAAACCAGAGGTTCTTTAAAATAGCTCGTAGAAATGATCCACCTTATTTCTCCTGTTCTGCTGCTGCTGATGTTTTAGTCCGCCCATTAAAGGCCAATATAATGACTTCCTCTTGTAAAAGAAAAGGAACCATTGAAGCCCTGGAATCCATGTTAATAGAGGTGCCTTTCATCTTGACCTGAGTTGTATTTTCTTCATCTTTCTGTCTTTCATTTTTTTCTTCCAGTTCCCTTCTTTTGTCCCCTTTTATTTTGATATTTATGACAGCTATATTTCAGGTTGCGAGGGTAAGACTTCATGGCTTTTCAGATCGTGAAATATCTGTAGTCCGTGCACTACTGATGTCAGAGATTGAATCTGCGTATTTGGAGCGAGATCAAATTCAATCTACCAGCTTGAGAGATGAATATTTACAAGTATATATATTTTTTGCATTAAAATGTCTCATAACAAACTATAGGTGGCTTTGGAGATAATCTTCTCTTTGTTCATGCAGCATTTTCTCCACGCTGAACCTGTTGTTGGGATTGAGTATGAGGCTCAACTCCAAAAGACTCTTCTACCACGTGAGTTGATTATCTTCTACTTTTTGTTTTTTTTCTTTTGACATCAAATTTCTGTACAATCAAAGCTTGTGAAG